AGACAAGATTAGGTAAATCTCACTACTCAACATACATTTCATGCCTAGAGCGAGGCTACTCACTCCCTCCTTAACTAGATAAACAAGATGCAAATCTCGAAGGTGCTCTCCAACAATCTCCAATTCTTCTCCTAATTCTTCAAAGCATAAGCGTGAAAAGAAAAGATAAGCATAAAAATAAAAGAACTATTGTAACCCCTTTCTTAAAACATTAACTCCTCGCCCTTTCAACATCATCCAATAGTTAAAACATTTTAACTCCAGTTACAAAATCATTCCCTCGCTTAATAAATTAAATAAATCATTTACATATTTTTCAAAAATATATTTAACTACATAAATAATCAAAACATATATTTTCTCCCAATATTTTCTATAACAAAATAACTTCACAAATTCTTCTTTATTAATAAAATATTTATAATTATTAAAAATCTCTAAAATATTTTATAAAATCCCTTTAACTAATTAAAATAATTATAAGAAAATAACCCTGAAAAATATAAAGTATATAAATAATAATTAAATAATTATATTAATAAAAAAATCTAGGGTGATACATAAATTAGTATAACTATTTTAAATGGTATTATTTTTTGAAAAGTTATTTACATATACAGAATATATTTAAACATATTTATTTATTAAAAAATTAATTGTCTAAAATAGACATTCATTTGTTTATTACATAAATTGAAATATTAAATTTAAATTTAAATTTTCTTATAAAATAATTTTTTTTTAATTTTTCTTAGTTTTTATGAATAGATATAAATGAAAAAATATCAAAGAGTTGAAAGTCTAAAATATTGTTTAAATCTCAATGTGAAATAAAGGACTTTTTATTTAATATAAAAAGTTATGTGGTATGCAATTAAGATGATTAGGATTTTTTTAAGAGTGGATTAAAATCTAGGTATTCAATTTGTTGTATATTAAATATTTTTTAAACGATGACTTTGAAGATAACAAATTATATTCACTATGTACATGCAATTTAAAATAAATAAATAAATAAAATATAGTTAAGAAAAGAATATGATACCGTTGAATCTTGAAAGACGAGGATCTATTATGTGCTTTTTGACTACCTTTCACACTACACAAATGTTTCACACATCTCAAGAAATACAAAGAGGGAGGAAGAGAGAAATTTCTAGCTCTAAAGAGTCTTGGACGAAATTTTCAGCCCCGAAAATAGTGCCAAAGTCTGTAATTTATAGACGTCAGACCTGACCAGAACGCCCGTTCCGGATTCGGAACGGCTCGTTCTAAAAGTGGAACGCCCCATTCTAAAGGCAGAATGGTTCGTTCCCCATTTGAACGTTTCCCAAAGTGAACTGCACTGAAACGACCCGTTCTAGATGGAGAACGGCCCGTTCTAAAGGTGGTATGGGTCATTCCCAATTTGAACGTTCCCATAGTGAATTGCACTGGAACGGCCCGTTTTGGCCCGTTCTCAATTAGGATTTTAGGTATTTTTTTAGTAACTTGGAACGACCCGTTCCAATTTTGGAATAGCCCGTTCTAGGCTACTAAAACCAACCTGTTTGGGCTTCAAGCCTCCGTGTTGTCATATGGTGTTGCCTCCATACTTTGGGAGCTCCTCCGCTTCATAGTAGACGTCCATTTCATTGTTTTGGTGGGTCTGGATAAAATTTGTTATTCACAGTATGCTTGTTAATACAACAAAATATCCAACAATAAATATAAGGTGTAGTAATGTAAATGAAACAAGTAAATAGATAGGGATAGAGAGATTTCACTTAAAGTTTTATATTGGTTCACCCCAATTGGGCAACATCCAATCCCCACACCAACTTGTGGATTTTTCACTATCATAGCCAACTGTTGTTCAAGAAACAACTTAGCCACCTATTGATATAAAAGCTTCACTACACAACCACCTGTTGTCAATGATACATACTCAACCTCCTACTAAGATACCCAACCTCTTAGGCACCTACTATGAAATATTCATATAACCATTGTTGTGATTTCCTTTGTTCCTTCCTACATGTCTACAACTCAGATCTAGGTAGGAAATGCTTTTTAAAAAAATAGGTTTTTGTATCCTAACACTCTACGAAGGTTACAACAGATTCTCCTAAGTTGGAGCTTTTAGTAAGGAAGATTCAGACTTTGTTTATCTATTACAAGATCAACACAATTGCTAAAGTGGAGATCTCTAAATAAATAAGAGTATGAAGCAAGGATTATAACTATGACAACTTGTGTTTTGATTACTTTAGTTGATCTTGCTTGCTTTAAAATTATAGCCTTGGTATTTTTTTTATAGCCATTGAAATATGTCTGTTGTGGGCAGCTTAGTTTTTAAATAGTGCAAGCCTCATTATATTTTCCTTTTTTTGGTATTGTCAACTTTTTCTCTAGATGATGGTACCTTTTAAGCAGATCTTCTCTTCAAACCTTCTGAATAGATTCTTCAGTACAAGTTTTTTGAGAAATTGTGTTTTAACTAAGACCTTATGGTAGATGGTTCAAAGAATTGGTCTTCTAAGCCAAGTCTTCAAAGGGATTTCCCCTAAGAGGAAATGTTTAGCTTGAACCTCTTTAATTAGAGACACAATATGCTTAACTTCTTGCTTTAGGATAGTCAAGACCTTGGTGCTACATGATAGTTTAAGTAGATCAAATACTATCTACTGAAGCTTTTGAATTGCAATACTTAAGCAACCTTCTGAGTACTAATAATCAATTATGAAACACTTGAACAAAATTGTTAGTACTTTATATGAGAACTCTTCTATATTAATTTTGAAAATAAGAATTTTTCATTATTCAAACATATATGCAAGCATAATTCAACAAAATTGAATTCATTTACTTGGGTTGTGCAGTTTTGTCCTTTGAGTTGAATTGTAGTAAATTAATTTTAAGTTGGCTAGAGGATTTTCTAGATCGAAGTGTATGATTATGCTGTTAAGGTGTAGAAAGATGTTACATTTTTTGAGATATTGAGATGAACATATTGCATTATGTATGGTTTTTCCTAAGTTGAAAAGTTGAATAAAAACTATTTCAGAAAAATGATTTGTTTTTAGTTGAAAGATTCCATTGTGTGAATTTAAGTTGTAGTATTCTAAGAGTCCTATATAAAAATGTCATTGTTTCTCTTCTAATTTGTCATTGTAAACTGGGTTTTGTTCTCCATCTATAAAAACCAATTTATCTTAAAATTCATGTTACCAAATGTTAAAAAAAGATAGATGAAACTAATTAGATTTATAATTATTAAGATGTTGCTAAAGATATTGAACGTAATAATAGATAATGAAAAAATAATTAAAAAGAAACTATTAATTCTCAACAAAAATTTTATATGGGTCAGTTATTATATTAGGACAATGCTAAGGAATTATATGTATATATATGTCCTAGAAATTTATTCCCAACTTATAGGCTTTTAGTTCTAACAGGATTATAGATTATCCTATCGCAATCCTCTCCGCAGAAACAACTAATAAATTTCACAATTTTCCACTACTTGTACAAACATTTCCATGCCGCCTCTAATTTAACAACAGCATTCTCTAAATCAATGATTATAATATATATATATATA